TTTTCTAAATTCAATCAATTCATTCTGGTTATAAATATTTAATTCTATATTATCACTTACACTTTCAACTTCACATACAAAACCTTCAATATTTTCATTATTCCAGGGATTATTTGATGGATCAATGGTTGGAAGACATTCTTTGCCAAAGTAGGTAAATGGATAGTCGTGTTTTCGTCTTGTGGTCATAAATTTAGGGAAGAAATTTGGGTGTATAGTGGTATAGTTTTTAACGAGGTGTTTGCATAACATGTAGTTACTTTCAAGGAATGCGGGGCATGAACAAATCCATTTATTAATGTCGGTAAGATATTCTCCCTCTATGCTAACTTCTTTTTCCAATGCAGTTTTCCAATTGCTTTTGAATGCATTCCACCATGGTGGAAATGCACGATTGTTATCAAATCTGTTCCAGTCATATATTCGATCAGGAATTAATTGTTGTATTAAAATGTGCGTTAAACGATCTAAGCGAGGTCGATTGGTATTATATTTATAGTTATGTTTGAGAGCACGCCAGTGCGATTCTACTAACATAGTGGTTTTTGCTAATGGTAATGCATTGAAATAGGAAGCCCGAGCAAAGAGGTTCCAATAATTTTTTTTATACCAATTGACCCATAAATAGCCCCATAGATGAATAAGGTTCTTCTTTTTACAATATTCATATGCTTCGCGAACACTAAGATGGTATATTTCAGCTGAGGTAAGAAATGTTCCTTTGTTGATTGGAATAAGAGGATGCAGTAATGCATGTTTCTTAACCATTCTTAAAACTTCTTTAACATTTTCTTTAGGGCATACGTTACTTTCTTGTTCACCAGGAAGCCAAAATTCGTCAATAAACTCGAATTGTCTTTTAGCATCGTTGGCTGCTTGTTGCGTATATTGACTGGCTTTATATTTTTTTTCTTTTAGCTTTCTTTCAATGGCACGCTCTATATGCCACAAACAAAGTTGAACTTTTGCTGTTTGAGACCAAACCCCTAAAGCCGCTAATTCACCAGCATCTTTATCCGTAAGAATAAAGCTAGGCCGAATCCTAGATATAAACCAATAATAATATTAGATTATTTAAGAAATTAGATCCAAAGAAAAAAATTTTTTTTACCTAAAGGTAATGCCAAATAAAAGCTTGTAAATAACGTTTTATGCTCTTCATGCTTTTGTTTTATTTGCAGGATTAAACCTGTAAAACGCATAAAAGTATTGCTTATAAGCTTTTATTTGGCATTACTTATTTATAATATTAAATATATATATACCCTTCAGTTTTTAATAAGGAAAAGAATTCTTTTAGAACTAATACACGCGAATGGATTTTATTTTTTGGATCTTGCAGGCATTCAACTGGTGCTGCGAAAGTATGAAGATATAAATACGCAAGTGGAACTCCGAATCCTTTATGGTTATTTAAGATAGCGAAGAGCTCAAATTTTTCATTGTTAGTCTTAAATGTTGAATCTATAAGGATTTCGCTTATATCATTTTTTGGTATGTAATTAAAAAAAGGAGTAGTAAATCCAAGAGACCTAACGAAGTCGTTTTCTATATATAATAGAATTTTATATCCTTGATCGACTAGATCACTTTGGGCCAAGAGATTACGAGTAGAAAGAAGTTGGTTGGAAATATTTGTAACATATTGCTGAGCAGAAAACTTAAAAATCCAATAGTACACCTGTTGATAAGTGTGCACATTTGGGTTAATGAGTTTTTCTTCACCAAGCCTTCTATAAAATTCTATTTTTTTAAGGTTTCTGTGTACGTTTCGTGATATCCAGGCTATGGCGTTTTGTGGTAAGTTACTCTCATGATATGTAGGATGCTCATGAGCTATTAAGTGTTCAATTTCTATATTTGCTTGATATTTATTAATGTCAAGGTTAATCTTAATATTTCCTTCACATGAATACCGATTTATTGGAGGTCTCGCTTCACTTATTCTTTTTGGTGCTTGGCTTTCTGAGTGTGTACGTTTACGATCTTCTCTTTGAGCACAGCCAAAATATATAGTTGCTTCTCCAGTTAATTGATTGTTTTTCTTATGGGAATAGATTTTTCTTAATTCCCAGTAATAGCGAGATCCGGCTTCGATAGATACAAGAAGAGATTCAGCTATATTACGATAAGTAACTTCTTTGTCACTCTCTTGATTTTCGCTAGGCACATTATTGACAAAATCTTCATCAAACTTCAAAGTCCCTGAAAAACGCACACAACCATATTCTTCACTTTCAAAACAGTTAGCTATTAAGATTTCCATATCCGTTAAGCTAAACCAAGCTATGTCTTCATATTCATCATTAACGTAATCTTCAGTTATGTTCAAACTTTCTACACTCGTTGGTTCACTAATAGCTTCAGGCTTTTTTTCCTTTTTAGTTTTTGCACATTCATTGCAGTTGGAACCTTCTTTTATTTGACTTCCAATTGGTCGAGTAAATTCATCAAGATTTTTATATTTATCGCAGCGGGAGCATCTCTTTCCGCGGTTAGAAGAGGCCATGATATTTTTAATTTATTAAGATTATTAAAGTAAGGAAAGGGTTGTGATAATAATGTTCGATAGTATAACTATTGAATTAAAAATATTGAAATTAGGTAAGGAATTTTACTGAATAATTATATAGTGTGGCGATTGCGAAGCTGAGTAGTTATTGGAATATAGAAATAAGAAAATGAATTGTATGGAGATGGCCAGATAACGTAGCAGAGATGAGTAGTTAAAAAATATGAAAATTCTTGAAGTAAGAAGATGACCGACTAGATAGAGTACTAATAGCAAAGTAGTTATTTAGGCATAGAAATGAGGAGATGACTAGATAGCGTAGCGATGGCAAATACGAGTAGTTATTAAACGTATGGGCACAATTGGTGCGAAATAGCTAGATAATTCAGCAACGACAAGATAAATAACTATTAAAAGTATGAAAATAAGGAAATAAAATGCGAATATAGTGATGGTAAATATGAGCAGTTTTAAGTATAGAAATAGAAGGAATTGTAACGGGGCTAAATGGTGTACAATGGCGAGATATTTGCAGTTCAAATCTAATAAAATGTATATAACAAATTTAATTTAATAGGCTTCAATTTCAATTTAGAGAAGGGATACGATATGATTAAATTCTTTCATCTTTTTATATTAAAGCAAAAATATCAAATAATTTTTTAATTTTGGCTTTTAATTTCGCATTTAATTACTCATTTAATTTACAAGATATTAATTAGTATTATATCTAATATGTGTAATATCGATATATTTTGAAATTTGTTCAAATTTACACGATTCTGAATATACTTTATTAATATTTAATTTCGCAAATATTATTTAATTTCGAAGATATATTAATTTTTGCTATATATTTAATTTCGAAGACATTAATTTTCTATTAAATATCGAAGATTAATTTTTGCAATATATTTAATTTCGAAGATATCAATTTTTGCTATAAATTAGTTTAATTTCAAAGATATTAAATTTGATAATTTTGAGATCGTACATTCGAAGATATATCACTAATTCATCAACGCGTAAAATCAATTTCGTGACATCACCGGTTCACCGTAGTGGTCTTCCGGACTTCCATTAGCCCGATTTGTCTCGGAGATCACGGTACCGCCAAATTTTTGCGCCATCACTATGCCATCCGGGAAATTGATCATGAAAAGCTTAAGTTCATCAAAATAAAATTACTAGTTGTTAGTAATATCTTATGATCATAGAAAATACGTACAAGTTATCTTATAATTGACTTATGATTCTAAGTAATGCAGTTTTATTAAATAATTAGTATTTATTGTACAATAAATTTATAAGTTATCAGAATATAAGTTATCGATATATATATATAAATGTCGTTGAGATTTGTTTATATGTGCATGTAAGAAAAGATTATGTTACTATATATGTACTAATTATATAATCAAATTTTATAATAATAAAAAAAAAAAACAAATATACAGAAAAAAGAGCTTCTATACAATCACGTTAACTATAGACATAGGGGTAATAAGAAATTAATGATAACCCAATCACCCAACCCAAATTATTATATAGTTACATATAATTGTTTTTTTCTCAAATCTCTTGATTTCCATTTACGGGAGTTAAATTTTCATCATTCTTAACTAATGTTGGTGGTTTTATTTCTGGAAATTCTTCAGTAAAGTCACCATTTTCCGACCATCTTTTAAGTACTTTTTCTAAAGTTTTTAAACTAACAGGTTTTGTTAAAAATCCATCAACTCCACTTCCATATGCAATATCTTTATCTTCTTCTCTAGCTAATCCAGTTAATGCGAAAATTAAAGATTTATTTTCTATTGGTATTGATGATTGATGTGATGTATCGGTTTGTTCGGTATTAGTTTTTGCTAATGTAGGAAATAGTCCTGTCGGGATTTTTGATATACCCTTTAAAGTTTCAGTAAATGATCTTTGTTTTAATTTCTGTCGTCTTTGAGCATATTCTCTCTCTATCTTTCTGATTTCAGACGTGGCAACATTACCATTCATTACTGGCATTTGAATATCTAGAATATATAAATCATTAGAATTTATATATTAGCATTAGAATTTATACATTAGAATTTTATTCATTCGTTCAAATTTCAAATTTTAAAATTCTAAAATTTAAATTTTAAATTTCAAAATCATTTGATGCTAAAAAAGTTAACCTACCCATTAGCACCACATCGAATTTTTTCTCTCGTTCACCTTTTTGTTCTAAAGCATTTCGATATTTTTCAACACCAATGGCTCCATTTTCTGCTTCTTCAAAATCAATTCCACGACTTTTCAAAAATGTAGACAAGATTTTTCTATTCACTACATTATCTTCTATTATAAGAACTCTCGGTCCACGAAGTCCTAATTGTGATTGTGTGGAAGGATCTATTTCAGGGGTAGTTACTGCAGGTAATGAACGTGATGTTGATAAAGTTCGTGATTTTGGTGTCAATGCAAATTTATCTAAAGTTGGAGGTGAGGATGACAACATTTGTGATGCGTCTAGAATTAAAGGATTTAACTTATTTGATGATTGTGAATCAATGTTTGTGTTTTCAAACGGGTCACTTTTCGTTGGTGGCGTGTCAAGTGGTGTTTGTAGAGACACAAGCGTATCGTCTGAAGATGTGTCATCATCGTTAATAGGTGGTGTCGTAATAATTTGTGGTAAATCTTCAGTTTTGACGTCTAATTTAAGATTAAAGCATGATAGAATAGCCTTTTCTATTTTTCGAGGGCTGATAGGCTTTGAAATAATAGCAACTTTACGATATTTTTGGTTTGTATTCATCTCAATTTCATCTTGAATTTGTTCAATTATTTCTCTAAATTTACCATGCTTTTCCAATGAAGTGACAAAAATAATTGGTGCATTTAATTTATCTGATTCTTCAGAAATTAAATTTGAATTAAACCAACACGATTTATTTTTACTCTCTGATAATAAAGATTTTAAAATTTCTAAATCTTCATTAAAAATTATCACTAAATCTCCATCTAACTTACTAGGTCGTTCCTCAAGAACCACATTTTTTATACTAAACCAATTTTTGAGACATCGGTCAGTAATTTCTTTAACTTTCCCTCTAGCGCCCTTGACCACTACAGATTTATTTTGAAATTCTTTCAATATAATTTCCCTTTCTTTCCTCTTTATAGTCTTTTTATCTCTAACGCTAGCATCATCGTCACTATCAGTATCTGACTCACTAGCCTTCTCAAAGTCCAACCAAATTCTCACTCTAGTTCCAACATTTACTTCACTTTCGACATCCAATTTACCACCCATCTTTTCCACTAATAATTTGACAATACTTAAACCTAATCCAGTACCAATTTGAAGAGGATCCTCTTGAGTAAATGGATGAAAAAGGTGCGTGTTAAGAAAATTTGGATCAATTCCGCGACCGGTATCAGTTATAGTAAAGAGAACATGCAATCGTTCTGATTCATCGGCAAAGTCGGATGTGAAATCTTTACAACAAGAATGTTCGCAAGTTTCACGCTGACAAGCAACAGTTGCAAGCGACAAGTGAATATATCCCTGTTTCGTAAACTTAAGGGCATTCCTAATAAATAATAATAATAATAATAATAATAATAATAATTAATTAATTAAAATTAATAATGATTTATTTAATATTACCAACGTTACCGGAATTAACAAGTGTTGACTTACCCTACAATCTAATTAATGAGCGAAAAAAATTTTAAAAAAATAAATTAAATATAGTTCTTTTTTTTTAAACTCGTTTTAAATAACCTTAAATAATTTGAAATAATTCTTACATTTATAAGCATCTGCCTGATTGCACCATCTTCTGCCATTACCCACCATCCATCTTCACGTGGTTCTATATCCATAAGAAGATCAACATCAGGCGAACTAGTTTCTCTCTTAGATTGGTACGGATGTAATAATCTACAAACATGTCGTCTTCTTGCTTGGGATGGTGAACTATTTTCATCATTGTTATTATTTTTTCCATAGATAACCGACACCATCTGTTGTCCTACTACACATGATTCAGCGACATCTTCCAATATTTTAACCAAATCAACTTTTTCTTTTTGCTTTACTCTATCACGATGGTGATGATGATGATGATGCTCTTCAGTATCGTAATAATTTCTTGAATTACTATTCAAAACTGGAACGGGTGGAGGATGCATTAAATCATAATTACGAGAATTATCCATTTTCGCATAATTTAAAACATTATTTATTATTGAAATTAAGCCAGTCCCACAGCTTTGAATGGTCTTAAGTAATTCAGTTTGCGCTTCATTCAAATGTCCTTCACTCATTAATTCACAACTAGCTAAAATTCCATGTAAAGGAGTTCGTAATTCATGTGATACCGAGCTAATGAATGCACTTTTCGCTCTATCAGCTACAATAACACGTCGTTTAAGAACCTCGCTTACAATATTGACACCAAAATTTCCCAAATAAACACGTTCTTCATCTTCAAATTGCCTTAGAGGATCTTTGGTAAGTGCAATGAGAAATCCAAAAGCATTTTTTGCATTATCATGGATAGGAACAACAATACCAGAACACATATCAGGAGGGAAAAGATTAGGTAATTGTGGAAGAGCATTTTGAAATATGTAACCTTGAGCATGAGTATGCATCAAATGAGTTAAAAAAGTAGTGGTTACGGGAGTTGAAATGGAGTCAGTAGAAATCGAAAGACCAGCAGCAGCTAGGAATTTCAAATGTTTTGTCGGTAATTCAGGAGGAGGACTATTCAAAAGAAAATCATTAGAGAAATCATTGGATAGACGACTGGCATAAGTGACTTGTCGTGCAGATAAAGAAGGCATTTCCAATAAATATAAAGCATCAACATCCAAAGTATCTTTTATCAAAGTTACAGCCCTTTCAAAACATCTACGCATAATGGGATCACCATCTTCAGAACCATCTTCACCGTAAGCAAGCTGAGTTTCGAGACAAAATTTACTGAATTCAGCGAGACTAGATTGCATCTTATTTCTAACACCTAATCTCAATCTATCAGCCCAAAGTTCCAGTTCACGCATAACCACTTTTGCAAAATCTTTTAAAGATTCACGCATTCGTTCGCAGAAATCATTACGAGGTACAGTATCGATTAGACAAAGAGTACCAACATTATGACCATCTTTTGTTCTTAAAGGAGCACCAGCATAAAAACGAATATAAGGAGGGCCTATGACTTGAGGATTTTTCTTAAATCTCCAATCAAGTAATGAATCAGGAACTACAAATGGTTCACCGTTTTCTTGTAAAATGGCATGACCACAGAAACTAATTTCACGCTTTGCTTGAGTACAACCAAAACCATTTTCAGCTTTGAACCATTGATGAGTGGTATTTACAAGAGAAATTAAAGTAATTGGAACTTTAAAATGTTCTTTAACAAGTCTAACTATACGTGTAAAATTTACATCTTGTGAAGTGTTTAATATTTGGAATCGCCATCTAAAATAATAAAAAAAAAGAATTGTAAATAAAATGATAAAATGTTCACACATTTTAAGCTCCGCATAAATTAAGAAAATCAATATATATATTATATATCTTACAGTGTTATATTTATTTTATATGTTGTACGTGAGAACGGGATTTAAGTGGATTTAGAAGTTCTATAATTTTATGGTGGTAGAATTTATTTTATACAAACTTACAAAAGTCCAAAGAAATTCCAAATCCATCTAAATTCTATTCCCACTTACAACATATCTATTATATATATATATTTATTTATTTAAAGCTTACAAAGCTCTTCTTCGTTCAGTCTCATTTGGAGGCATCGGAGGAGCAAAATAAGAATCAGTGTCATCATAGGACTCGGAATCATCCCCATCGTAATTTTCATTATGTTCATTATCATGAGATGGAGGAAGATTTTCTTTAGTTTCTTCGGTGATAGAAGGTATTGAATTTGATTTTTCTTTATCGCTACTCCCAGTATAAGAATCAATAGTATCTTCACTAGTTATAGTATTTTCCGAAAGAGGAGAAGTTGGTAAACTAAATTTCCAGTTTACATCCTTCAATTTTATAGTTGATAACCTTCTCGGCTTTTTTGGAATAGAAGAAGGATTGAATTTTCCACGAGCGTAATCATACAAAAATTCTTGTAAATCATCAGATTTAACATTATTTGAAATATTATCATCACTAGAAGTCATTGAAGTATGTTCTTTTAAACGTCGTAAGCTTAAATTTGTGGAAATTGGACGTTGTGGGATGTCTAAAGGAGCTAGTTCACTATTTGTTTCTGGAGTATAAGAATGAGCGCGATTATGATGAAGTTTTTTTGCAGGACCATCCAGTAAAGCGTTTTTTAGTAAAGGAGACAATGAATGGTCAGAAGATTGAGGGCTTGATTGGTGAAAATCATTTGAAATAGATAGAAAATCTTGATTATAGGCAGATTTTCTGTCTACACCCAAGTTACAAGATATTACGCTTGTTGAGGTCGAAAAACTAGACTCTTCGTCAACAGATTTTGACTTTGGAAGGCTAGAATCCTTGTCAATAGACTTTGACTTTGGGTAAGTTAACGACATAGATCTCCTAGGAACAGGTATCATAGTAGAATTATATTTGCTATCTATATCAAGAACATTCCATTTTCCTATTTCATAATATGAACTTGGATTTGCGATTAAACTCGTTATTCTTCTTTCCTTTGGAGGCTCAGCCACTTTTAAAGTTGTATCAATTGACGGAACCACATTGTTTCGTGCTAACTTTGAATTTTGTACGTTCGTGGTAAAATTATCTGTTAATGGACTTGTAGTTAACGTAGGACTAATAATTAAAATTGGATCTGGCTTTGCGGCTTCGCTAGGTTCGACAGGATCTTTAAGGGAACTCATTGCTAATTGCTGGGTAGAATACAAAGAAAAGTTTTAACAATAGAGTTGTTTTTTTTAAAAAGGTTTGACCAAAAGAGACTATAAGATATAAAATAGATTTATTTAAGTAAAGTAAAGACAAGCCGCTTACCGTTACTGATTTCTAAATAGGAAACCTTTTTCTCTTAAGGTAGCACCTTCTCTTGAAAGCAATAAGAGTATTATAAGTTCCTTTATAAGCATGCAATCTTGTGAATATATGTGGAAGATCAATAGTCGTAGAACGTATGGAGTATCTTTTACGGACTTAAGGTATGTTTTTTTGTTTCTCTATTAGTCTAGAGCTATTTCATTTTTGACAAGTTGTTAGCGTTAATACAGGAATAAAATTAAAAGGTACTACGTATGTACGCACTGTATATATATATAATTACCCTTTTATTTGTTTTGTGGATTTAAACTTAAAAAAATTAAATGTCTACGTACGTACGTACATCTAGCCTAAAAGTTTGGATAAATGAATAAATGCATGCTATTTATTAATGTTAATACTCATTACAAAGAGTAAATTTACAAAAAAAGAATATTTCTGATTTGAATTACGTAACATTAAAGGTTTAAACTGAAGAAAAGTTGTTACAGTTAGGAGTTAATTTACCGCATCTTCGGAGATTATGTGTGATACTCGTGACACTACCATGACGTTTTTGGATATTATATGATATCATTCTTTACTTTCAGTACTTTCCAAATTGTAGTACTACATTCATAATGATTCATTGTTATTTTGACCCACGTTCAAGAGAAATGTCACCTGTACCGCAGTCACTAATTAGAATATTATCGTTTACTATTTCGAAAACAAATAAAGAATTCAGTAAATTCACCTATCTCCCGTTAATTGCTTGCAACTTTCTGCATTGTATATCAAACAATGAGTTATATACATGTTGTTCATATTGAGTTTCTACGGGAATTAATTAGTGTTATAGTTGACATTTACGAGATTAATCCGGTTACGGCATTTGCCGGATTTTGAATCCGTATTAGTAATACCGCATTGCAGTGATGCAGCATCGCTGAGATATCTTATGCCATAAAAAATAAAAAGATTGGGACGAGATGTAATGAAGGAAAAATTGAGAAATGGCATACTAATAAAATTGGTACACTATACCTGCTGCGACCAACTTATTATCAGTTATAGGTTAATTAAGTAGTATGAAAGTTCAAATTTTTCGTAATCAATTATATATATTTATCTATTTCGATTTTCTATCATTGTTAATGGACAAGTTGTTAACTTGTATATTTTAACAAAAATTATTCTCGGTAAAGTTAGGTACAAGAAAAAATTAACCAATGAAAGTGCGAAACAAAACCAAGAAAATTATTAAAATTTATAAAACAAAACAACGTAACGGTAATACATTGAATTCATTTTTTCGTATATTCCTTTAGCAATAAGAGTTATAAGTTCTAGACTTTATTATTAATTTTTTTTTTTTTATCTTACCGATTGAGTCGCACCAACCTCGTACACATTTTCTGGATGCTACAGTAATATTGTAACACGGTATTATAGTAATACCGTAATACCGTAATTCAATAATTGCGACAATATAATTAGATAGTAACTTGATTTAGAGAAATCTTTTACGTATTATTTCATATGTTTCTGCGTCGTAGTAGATCAATAGTATCGGTTAATACAGCTATAATGCATTATTCCCAATACAGTATATTTGGGTCATGGAAAAGTCCGCCATTGGGCTTTTTAAATTTTATATAGGTTACCAGATACAATCTCTAAAAAAATTAGATTGAGTTAGTAAGTAATAAACTTGAAATGCTGTTACACTCGGACTTTCGGACTACCTTCAATCCGGTATAACTAATTTACTTTAGTGACGGATGCGTTAGACAATTGATAATAACAAATACTGTGTATATGTAAGAGGATTTAAGTGATTTACGGCTAAATGTATGTGTTATGTGTCGTTTATTGATTTCTGTCGATTCGGGATTGACATGTGGCATTTACGAATACAAAAATAACGTATCTCGCTTTGGAATTGGTATGAATTTCATCGAACAATTTCACAGGCATTCATTAAAAATATATATGATGCAATGACAATTTATAAAAAAAATAAATGCATATCAATATGTTATAAAATACATAGTCATATATTCATAATAAATTCTACTTATTTATATTTGTATATCTTTATTTTATCATTTCATTAATTAAATTTGTTCAATACTAGCGATAAAATGAATCATTTAGCACCGTTGTAAAAAAAACCAATTACAGCGCCAAATTTTGCTCGTGTAGAAGAAACAATTTATTATGTTCAAGGCAAAGGCGATGTGAGTGTATCTTGTGCGGCCAATGCAAAAATCGCTAGATAATTATTTTTTTTACTGAAAGGTGTCGCATTTAGCTTTATTAGCTTGATTTCATATTATTTTTTTTTTTAAAAAAAAAACAATAATAGTCGTTTATAGTTTTTTTAGCGCTTAGTTGAGAGAAGTTACATTTGACATAAGCAGAATTTAGGGAGCTGATATTTCCACACTCTTTTGATATTTCCACACTCTTGTAGATCACTCATTTTTTAAAATTTGATCGAAGGTATCTCGGCAACCACCTGATAAAATTCGACGAACTTTTTTTATTTGAATTCTATGGATTCATAGAATTCGAATAAAAAAAAGTTCATCGAATTTCATTAGGTAATTGTCGAGATAAGATACCTTCGATCAAAGACATGCACAAATATGCCGCGGCTTATATTTGGATAGACGTTTTAAATTTTCTTAAACTTTAATCAAAGATATCTCGGCAATTACCCAATGAACTTTTTTTCTTTGAATTCGATTGATTCATAGAATTCAAATAAAAAAAAGTTTTATCAAATTTGATTGGGTGGTTGACAAGATACATTCAATCAAAGTTATGAAAAATTTACCATGGCTTACATTTTAATAGATGTTCAAAATTTTTCTAAAAATTTCATCAAAAATCTCTCAACAACTACCTAATGAAATTTGATAAACTTTTTTTATTTGAATTCTATGAATCCATAGAATTCAAATAAAAAAGTTTGTCAAATTTTTATCAGGTGGTTGTCGAGATACTTTCGATGAATGGTTTAAAAGAATTTAAAACATCTATTAAAATGTAAGTTGCAGCAAATTTGTGCATGACTTTGATTGAAGGTATCTTGACACCACTTAATAAAATTTGATGATTGTCTTTAGGCCGTTTGAATTTGAAGATTCGTTTAACGTTCTTTTTTTCATATTTTCTTGGAGGGGGGAGGGGAAAAATTAAACAAACATAAAAATTAAAAGAACCTAAATTAGGTTCAAATTGTACCTAATTTAGGTTCGTTTTAACCTAATTTTTTTTAATTATAATTTCGCTTTCTTATTCAAATATAATCAATTTAGTTTATTTAAAATTATAGTAATAATTTATACATTATGCTTTTCTTTTTTTACTTGTAGCACTATTTGCATTTTTTTCGACATCATTACTACTTAATTGAATATATTTTTTTTGTGCTCTTTTATACCATGTTTTCCCATTTTCTTTACAAAATGCGCATAAAGGGTATATAGTTTTCCATTCAGCCTTTAATTTATCTGAAGGCTCTACAAGATCCTCTGACTCTCCGCACCAATAACAAATATCTAATTTTTTAATACGGCATGAAAAATATGTAGACTCAATGGGAGAATCACAAGTAATATTTAATCTAACACTTAAATACTTTGAAAGTTCATGATCTTCAGGTAGCAATTGTGATCCACACGTATAACATAAACTGTCAAGAGTAGTTTGAAGTTGGATTTCCTCATTCTCTGTTAAAGCTGAATCGCTATATATACATCTTATTTTGTTACAATGTTCACATGTTACTATGCATCTAATTTTTGTATTAATAAATTGTCCTGACTTTTTTTCATTTAGATCTTTATTAACAGGATTATTCATTGCTGATGGGCAAAATTTTTCTGAAATTAGCTGGCCATAGACATTATCAAATTCTTTATAATGATCATTATCTAATAAAGATTAAATAAACTAAATAATTATATTTTATATTATATAGTTTAAATTTAGAACTTACCATTTTCTAATGGTTCGGGATCAGGAATAAATGATAAACTTTGAAAATCATCATGTGGCATACGAACTTTTTTGCATGCTTTGCAATCAAGTTTACCACATTTTATTATCTTATAATTAATAAAATTATATCAATAAAATAATAATTAAATTATAATGCTTATAGTAGTAATAATACCTGAAACATATAATTTCTAATACGGCAATGATTTTTTACAAAATTTTGATATAAAGTTTGCTTTTGTAATTGATTCATTGTTGTCATTGATTTATCTAATTCTGGATCAACTTGAGTCATTATCTTTAATAATATAGAAGTTAGTTTTAAATATTAAATAATTAATAAATAAATAAATAAATAAATTGCCTCAAAAAAAGAATTGATATCTTCTTCTAATGCAGGATTATTGATTTCAAAATAGTCATCATGTAACTTTAATCGTCTAATACGATCAAATAAAATAGTTTGTATTTTATTAATAGAAGCAAGTAATTCATGCTTTAAAGTAGGATTTTTTTTTGCTTCAAAGCGAATTGAATCCAAAGTTTGCAATTTATGAAAAATAGATTCAGATTCATCAGACATTTGTTCACGCTGAAGAGCAACACCCTGAAAGCCAAAATTTAGAATAGACATTATTCGCTCAGCAGGGTTTGCCCAACTGTGATAAGGTGCAGTACGTGCAGCAATAACTAAATCAAAATCACCATTTAAAAAAAGTGATATAAGTGAAATTTGAACAGATCCAAAATTACATCGATGGTCAGGACCTCCATTTGTATAAATTATAACAATTTCTGGCAAAGAACTAGCATTAGAATAATGTTGTTCTATTGAATCATAAAATTCTGTAGCATGCCTAAGAGCTGAACTAGCCTCAAAGGTTGTATTCTTTAGTGCAATATAAACTTGTCCAGAATAAAATAATTGAATAGGATCTTCTGGAATATTGGCAAACAATGATACTGAAGGAGTTATTGAAAGCTTTGTAAAATCATGATCAGATGCAGAAAGCTCCATTTGTGCTGGTATAGCCATTTTTTTATTACGAACTCCTGTACTTGTTGGTATTTCTTCTCCAATTAGCACCTTATGCTTGTCATCAGCAAAAATAAGGCAAGTAAATTTTTTATACTTTGATGCAAAATGACGAATATATTTAAAAATTGCTTGACAATAATGCATATCTACATGAGATTTTCTTATTTGCCGAGTTTGAACCATATATTTAATTTGAAAACGTCCTGTATACTGTGTACTTGCTTTATACCAGGGATTTTTTGGACAAAACTGGTAAGAAATCCATCGATCAGATGGTATTAGACAATTGTCAGAAAGTGGAAATTCATTACGCTTATTTTCTAAACGTTCAATAATAGACTCTCTTAAATCACGAATAGAAATAAAGCTAGACAAATAAAGTATATTACTATGATGCCTTTCATGTACTGATGGAAGATTTTTTTCAAAATAACATGCCATTTCATCTCAAAATTCGTTAAATTTAGTTTCTTTAAATCCATTATTTTTGCGTAAATCTATAATAATTTCAGGATTACCAAGTTCAAGTACCATCTTTATTCTTTGATCAACTTGTTCAGAACGAGCATTATCAAAAGCACTAGAGTCTCCTGTTAAATTATGATATAAATGACGTAATACACCTGGAGTAATTTTCGTAATTAATGAATACTATTTATAATTAAATATTAGTATTAATATTTTTTAATATTCATTATAAAACTAAATATATATTAACAAATTATACTACCTTCGCAAATATATATCTTCTCATATATCGAGTGAAAATTTTAGGTAACATTGATTGTGTTCTAATTATTGCTTGTGCATTTTTTGTATCATTATGTAACTCAATATTCTCAGGAATTCTCCAAATAAAATTTAATGTACCCAAATAATTTCCATGATGATATCGATATAACATAATAGTTGAATCAATACAAAGATTTGATAAGTATAAAAATCAGTTTTTTTTTGTTTCAGGTAAAAAATTTTCAAGTGATATAACTTCATATTCATCAGTTACTCTAATTTGTTCAGCAACCGGCACATATATCTCTTGAATATCATTAAATAAACATGATGGTCGCATTTCAAGTGTACTATCATTTTCAGGACTTCTAGCTGGAGAAGACGCAGATTGAATCTTTTGCACATGCTGATTTACAGTTTTTAAATAATTAGCATATGCACGAGCTACCGAACATAGTTCCAAGGATGCAGTTACAAATTGATCCCAACAAGCTTTACTCGCCCATGGCTCTAAAACACATTCTTCTAATTTATCAGCATAAAATTCTAATTCTTTATGGCTTAAAGTAGTTTTGTGATGTGAACCATTTTTATAATAAGAATTTTGCTGATATAATGGTAACTGAAGAAAAATCGATGGTATATTAAGACTACGAAGCTTAAGAGTAGCATGCTTGTCATCTAAATAATAAAGAAGAGATACAAGCTGATTAATGAATGATTTACCAACGGAATTGTGTGTACCATATTCCCAATCAAGATTGTTACTACCTAAAAGTGCCAACAAATCATTATATAATCGGTCATTACGATTTGTTGTCAGTTTTAAATTTGGTAAACTCTTTCTGGTTGCTGCATTCATTATTTCATTAAAAACATTGGATGTTGAAGGAATTTGGCTTGCAGAGGATACTAATTGTTCATTCTGAACAGTGAACCGAATATGTGATATATTTTGTTATTCTCACATACACATCTTTAAACTTGCATCTGTGCCAGATACTATATTGTGCCATGTATTTGTACCCTTTACTTGAATATCGACTTTAACAATCTCTCCAGAAACATAATCACTATCTGCTTGATAAAGTAAATCTTCAAAGTTAAAACTTTCATCAACTTCAAATAGTGCAGCTGAAAGAATCGTTTTACTTTCTCTTACTACAGTTACAAAGGGAAAAATCATTTCTATAATTTATCTAATATAAATGATTTTCAAAAATTCAAAGCGACAGAGAGAAATAACAAATCAAATTTTCATAATTTTAATTCTAACGCTAATGCCAATTACATAATTTACATCACATACTATATTTGATTACTACATTCTAACAACTACCATAATGAATATACACATTCTCACCATCCTGACTTCATAGCTAAATACCAACACGTCAATTTTAAAAGTAGTGGGCTATATGAGAATAATGTGGCGCATATAGTACTTAACACACTCATTATCTAGAAAATAGGTTAGATTTTTACGGCTATAAAGATTATTAATAGGTTAATTGTCTTTAATGGAGCCCACTTTTGCTATTATCCCATGCAGTTGGATTGTGTCCACCAAGATATTATTATTGCCTTCAATATTTAGAACCGCAATAGTATTTACTTTCATATTGCATAAATTTCAAAATGTTTCACAGGTAAATTTATCCTTGCTCCCACAAAGAAGTACTATTGCTAGTAATTTAAATTCATATAGAAAATTTAGTGAAACAGCTATTACTAATCATGTATATATCGATATCACCTGCAGAACATACGTATACAGTATGTCATTAATTTAGTTACACAATATCGTCATTACATATATTTTTATACTCGCTTTTTATTGGCTACTCTGATTATTGTTTAATGTCAGGGGAGCCCCAGTGGTAGGGGGGGAACGTTAAACGAATCTTTAAATTCAAACGGCCTTATCTTTATTTAACAATTTGTATTGAAAATCTACAAGGAAGGCATAACTCTTTTCGATAATCATCAAAAAATTACAAATATAACAAAAAATAGAAGAAAAGTATTCAAAAAAAAAAGACTTAAATAAAGCTAGAACATAGACAAAATTAGTATGAAACACAAGAAAACAACTGACATAACAATTAATATAACAATAAACAACAGCAGTACAAAAAATACAACAAAAAATTAAAAATAACAATAACCAGTTCTCAATGGATTTGATAAAAGAAAACAGTTTACAAAAGTAAACAATACATATATACTAGTATATATACCCAAGTTACCAATAGACAACAATATGGATAACTAAAAAACACAGAATACAAATAACAACCAACAAACTTCAGCTCAAAGTAAAAAATGTCATTACAATAATATATCTATCTTTATGATCTACAAAAAATTAACAAAAAGTAGACAAAACCGTTTACCCTTACCAAAACACACTATGACATTATACATTATACAGAATAATACAATAACAACCAATCATGGAAAATACAAATATACAAATGTAGCAGATATATAAACACAGCCACTAACAAACAAAACACATAATTCAACATCTAATACAAGAAACAACCCCAAAACAACATTAATGCAGATAGATATAGAAAATACAATATTTACAATCTATAACCAAAATAAACCTGAGAACCAAAACATCAATACCTAATAAAATCAGACAGCCATATATTACAACAACATATCTCTCAACAAGATCAAATGCAAATAGATGAAGAAGTACTATATATACAAACACAAAGTTAAATTAAACATATATTTCAAGAATTAAACAACCAAAATCAAAATAAGTTTGACTATAGCATTTGGCTAATAACAAAATAATTACAGCACTTGATGATACAAATGGTATTAAAAATGTTATAAACTAATAATGCAATCTATACAGTATCAGATTCCAAAAGCTATACTTCTTAAATTTAATACTTAAACCTTGTATTTTTCATATTCTTTACCCAAAATAGACAAACTACACCTGTATATCAAAAAGAATTCACTAACTTATTCAAAGTAGCTATTATTAAATATAAAGACAAAAATAAAATCACTCTAATGAACAGAGAAACTAGAAACATAATTTAACACAATTAAGATAAAAATTAATGATAAAATATCTTACAAACTTTACCTTTAAACAACTTTAGCCAAGCAAGGCATATCAGATAATCAAATATAGTTGAAACTTTATCTATGCAAAACCTATCAAAGACTATAAACAAATCCAAATAATAGTTAACTAAGCATATAGCATTTAACAACAACAACTACTTAAAACATCAAAGAAAATAGAAAGCCAAACCAAGAATATACTATCCTTTGAATTACTAATCAAACAATGATCTCAAACAAAAACAATTGTTAACTTCTTTAGAGTAATTTTTAACTTCTCTAGTCTACCAGACACCTACTTTATTGCACTACCAAAACTTTCAGACAAACCATCAAAACTAAAAGAAGAACTAAAAATCCATTTTCTCATTACAGACTCAAAACAACTAAAAGACCTATGATTCTATAAAAAAAACTTATCAACTATTGCAGCTTTACCAAAATATCTGCAACCTACTTTGTCCTACCACTAGAATGAGAACCTCTACTATTAACCTACTACGAACTAAATAGTGAAGTTAAATACCTCTTCTCTATTAACCTATTATTAGAAGAAACAAATATCAGAGATATAGCAGAAATACTTAGAAAATACTACAAGTTTAAAAGTATGCCAAATGATTTTTTTATACAAAAGCCTATACTACCATAAGATCCAAACAAAATCAAACTATACATCTAATTTACTTACCTGATTACTGATAACAAAATAGTACAAGAATTCTTTAAGAAAGCAAAAACAAAATATAAAATTAACTTCTCTATAAACAAGGCAATCTTGACAGCTAACCTTACAAACAAACTAAGACTATCTTTAGACCCTACAGAGACCAAAGTATTCAATATTACAGTACCTATTACATCATCTAGAATACTAGTAGAAATAGCTAAACTCCTTAGAAAAGAATACTACTTCAAACACATCCCATTAGACTGGAGCAATATACCCATCACACCTAATAAGATCTATGAGATCAAAACTAACAAAAAGCTAATAATATCAAAAAGCCTAGTTGAACTACAAGAAGTACTTAAAAAAATTACTGCCGAAATCTATATCAATATATTTATTAAACAATAAAAGGAAATTAACTCCACTATAACAATCATCCAACAGCACTTCAAAATACCATAAATTCTAGACTACATACTAGAACTTTCTCCTTTCCCAAAACTAACTTAGGACATCTTCGTATAACTATATTAATCTTAAAAAACTACAACAAAAACAAATATACAACCAACATACATAAAATAGACAATCAAAAACAAATAGATACTATTAACTTAGCTTTATACAATATATGTGGACTAAATGATAATATTAAAAGACAACTATAGCTCAACTACTGCAAAAAAAAAATATAAATACAGTATAATAAGCATAACAGAAACCAAACTCGCAGAATCAAAATATACAAATTTATAACTATATAATAAGATATACTACTTTTATACATCAAACACTACAGCAACAACAGCAAAAAAACAAGAATCAAATATGTGAGTTGTAATAGTATTACATAAAAAATTACAATCATATATACATAATATACAAATCTATTCAGGAATAGCACTTAGTATTAACATATTCTTATCACACAAAAACAAATTTCAAATCATATTTACTTTGCAATAACAAACAACTCAACAATACAATTCAATCTAAAATAATAGAATAGGCAAAACAAGCAAATAAACAAAAGATTAAACAAATCATCCTTGAAGACTTTAATCTTAACCTCAACAAAAAACACACACAACACTTTAATTTTTTTTTCCACTTTGGCTGTCTTGCCAAAATTCTTTATTACTGAGTATCGATTAGTTAAAACGACACCAAACAAAATGTTATACTATGTAATTTTAGACATGATATCCTGTAGTTACTTTAAAGAGCACTTACAAGTGACTGGCTGCACTAAGCAGACACGTCCCTTTGAACACATTGCAATAAATTTCAACTAAAAATTACATCTATCTCAGAAGGTTTTATCAGACTACCACTTTACAATAGGATATTATCAAACTGATGGCATCTTCTCATTGAGAAGTGGAAAAAAGAAAAAAGCACTAACACTAACACTAATATTAAAAGGAAAAATAAAATAATGAAAACTAATACTAAAAAAAACAAATATCGAGATGAAAGGGTATAAAATTAGAAAAAAAAAATCTAATAAATCACAATTATGAGCCTGTGTCAGCCTTTAAAAATTACATATTAATAGAATAAAGAAGCTCTGTATCTAACTCTACTCTAATAATATATGTATCTATATTAAAAAAC